TGACACCTAGGCTCGCCCTCTCAGTCATAATTTAATATTTTTAACCAGATAACTAGGTTATGGCATTTAATTAATATAACTGTTCTCAAGAGAATAACAAATAATTAAATAAATGGAGAAACTCTACCATTACCCATGCAAACAAAAATCAAATAATAGATGCAAATGACTACCCAAAAGAACAAGTTTTCAGAAGTTTCTAGAAGCTACACAGTAAATGCATGAGAAATCATACAACATTAGACATATAAGCAGAACGAGATGTGATATAATCACTAACTAACCTATAAATTGATTTTGAATTTATAATCAAAATCTGATGTTCAAACGAAGGAAGAGCTGTCGAAACTCTTACCTGCACCAAGCGCACAGCAAAGACAGGCCTGTTGGCAGGTTCTTGAGCCAGTTCCAGCAACTTTTTATGTGTCAGCACATCTTCTGCCCTCTCCACGTTTACATCCAAGGCATAACTGCAACAGGAAAAAGTCACATATCAGCAGTTGGCTTGGTAAAAGAAATCATGGCAACAAGTTCAACCAAAATCAACCATAAAAATGCTCTGACGACTTTCCTAGCACATTCACATACCCACAAATGGCCAATTCCTAGACAGGTAATTCCATAGAAGTATAATGAAACTACTCGCAGGACTAACAGAACATTAGAACCTAATAAGAATCATAAATTCAACTAAGCAAATCCTCGGGACAAGTAGCTGGAATACATTCCGGCAAGCACCACCACTGCGTGAACTATATGTGCAACGAGTATCACAAGAACAAAACTTTACCAAGAAAGGCTACTCAAGAACCATGGTTGAGGGCCCCAATCGATGAAAACGTAGGATCAAAAGGTCAACGAGTAAGTGGCGCCAAACATGTTCCGGTAAAACGAAAAGGGAAGATTTTGCAACAGCAGAAGGGACGTGAAACATCCACCGTTCCGGAAGACGATTGAAGTGGTTGAGCAACCCGTCCTCGAAGGACGGGGACAGCACCTCCGGCCGCCCGGCCTTCCTCAGGCGGCGAAGGACCTTGGCGTACGCCTCCAACTTGTGGCGCTGCTGCTGCTGCTGCTGCTGGCGGCGGGGGTGGGTCCGTGACGAATCCACCCCGGCGCGACTGCTGCAGCTCTCGGGCGTGTCCTTCATCGCCATCCGCAGAGTCGAACGTCAAAAGTCGAATCTTGGCTCATTAATTGCGCTATTGTTCGCAGAAAAAAAAATATCCGACTTTTAGGGGTCGGAGGGGTCGGGGTGGGGGGTGTGTGGTGGGCGTCGCCATCGGCCATGATTCACGTGAGACGAGGCGAGCAGGAGAGGAGGAGGAAGGGAGAAAGGATCGGCTATTGAAAGGGAAGGCAACGGAAGAGGACAACAGAGAACGGGCGAGATAATATGAAGCAGAAGGGGAGCAGCGACTGTGAAAGCGGCGGCAGGGGATTAAATTGTAAGGCTATTAACTATTATGAGAATATATTAGTTAGATATCCGCATTTATTATTATTATTTGAGCGATTTTCTTAAAAAATATCTTTATTTTGATTTTTTAAACAGTTATCCCATTTTAAATTTTTTCAACTCATGCCCGTAATTAATAGACTACCCAAATTATCCCTCTTCCATCGTCATTGTCATCAGTTGTCTCGTCGAACCCACCATCGCCTCCTCCTCCCTGTGTTGCCTCTGCCATCGCCCTGCACCGCCTCCCCTCTCCTTTGCCTCGTTAGAATTGTCGCATGTAACCCTCACATGAGGAAGGAGAGGGCATGAGAGCCGTCGTTGGTCGTCTGCGCCACCGAAGTCATTTGATAAGATCATAGGGTTTTATCATAAAAGAAGATAAAGAAAAGAGATGATCATTTCGAACGGATCGACCTCCTTGATCACTTCGAGGGGATTGATCTTTTAGGATTTGCCAAAAGACTAAAATAACATTTCATAGATAGATAAAAAGAAACAGATTTGTCAAAAGACTAAAATAACATTTCATAGATAGATAAAAAGAAACAGATATATCCATATTTATAGAATTCCACCATTGAGTCCATCAGGATATGGCAATAAATAAATAAATAAATATCAAATAAATCTCTAACCGACTCTTACGACAAACTCAATAAAACATTATTCAAATCTCAAAAAATAAAAGGATCCTAATGTAAACGTCTACAACCCTCGCGTGAGGAATGAGGAGGTTCAGGCATATGGCAATAAGTCCAACGGGACAAATGGCGACAACAGAATAGAAAGCTGGCAGCACTGTTGCGCCCCCTCCTTCCTCATGCGAGAGCTCTGGATGGTGGCTCCAATTGGGCATAGGGGAGGGGAGGCAGTGCAAGACACAGGGGAGATGACGGAAGTGGCATAAGGCGATGGTGCAAGGAGGAGGAGGTGATAATGGGTCTGACGGGACAACCAACGATGGCGGTAGAGAAGGAGGCACGATGGAAGAGGGGTAGAGGATGCAGGGCAATTTAGGTATTTTAAATTAACGATATGATTTGAGAAAACTAAAATGGGGGTAATTGTTTAGAAAATATCTAAAATAAAAATATTTTATAAAAAAAACGTTCTTATTATTTTATAATAAATAAATATAAACATTATAAGATTTTTAAAATATATATACAGATTGCTTGTTAATTCAATCCAAACTCAAGCATTTATAAAATTATTTTTAATTAATTTTTATAAACACAGGACTGGATGAAGTTCTCAGATCTAATGATAATTTGACTTGTCAATGATTTATTAAAACAAGTATAGTACTTATAATAGAGGAAAATGATGCTCGCACACAAAGGAATAGAAAATCTAGACTTGTAATTATATATTGTTGAAGATAATTTCCAAGGGAAAAGTCAATGAAGCTCTAATTAACAAAGAAATTAAGCACAGTCTCTGTCTTTATCATGTTGATGTATTGAGATTTGGCAGTATCATTTTGATACTGACAATGAAATCGTAATCGATAGAGATAATATTTTTTAGATAGTGAAGATGGGATTCGAAATCTAAGAACTTGGATGATCTATTAAAGTCTTGGTATCGTACATCCTTGATGATTCATCAATATTTTGAATCAACTGAAGTTGGTATTTGCCATCATAAAGTTAAAATCCAACTTTCCCCTTTTTGTTTGTCCCTTGGGACTTCTTGATGTATGAAAATAATCCAAATTTTCATGATGTTTTGTAAGGTTTCATGACTTAATCATGCTTAAAATATCAGTTGTGCATATTAATTTCACAGTTGTCATTTTGATTTGACAATATAGTTCACAACATTGACTTCATTTTTTTTTTCTGAAATACTTGTTTTGGATGAGTTATTTGATTCTAATCCAACCTATTTTATATTACTTCCAAGCTTATACATTCTATATTAAGAAATCTAATCACAAAATATGGAGCTCAGATAAAAATAATATGTTATCTTAAAAAAATTAATAGTCTATACCTAAGATATCATTATTAGTTTTAAAGGAACCATCCATCATATTTCAACAAAACTAAAAATAATTATCATTTGAAAGTTAAGATTAAATCTCTCCTCAATGGTAATTGTAACAATTTTGCATTGGAATAAAAAAAATGGTTGGATTTTATGATTACAAACATGACAATCACTATGATGTTCAGATCCATGAGATTTTTATTCCCTTTATTTCTTTCAATTATTCTATGAATAAGTTATTCCCAACTAGTAATTCTAATAATTTTGCATCAATGGATTTCAGGACTACTAACTAGTAATTCCGAACTAGTAATTCTAATTCATCCATTAGATTCCTATTCCCCCATGTTCCCACAATTCTTTTATAAATAAGTCATTTCTAATAATTAGAATAAAAGATATTAGTCATATTACTTGAATAAGCCTTTTATTTTTATTTTTTTCCTATTTAATACCCTTTCTTTTCGGTTATTTTCGTATTGTATCTCTTATTTTCTAAAGAACAAAATTACCCTTAGCCTTGACCCGTCGATTGTCATCGTCACACTCGCCTCTCACCATCATTTGTCGTTTTCACCCCTCGTTGCTGCCTACCACCTCTACCTCGTCACGAGGTCTCGTCACTCTCGTCTCTCTTCTCCTCTTTCTCTGTCGCTTTTGCTAGTCGTCGACCTCATCTCATTCATGCACCATTGCCTTCATCGTCATATCCTCCATCCATCTTGTTTGTGCACCGTGATGATTATCGAGCGCTAATCACCCTTTATGTTGCTCTACACCCGGTGGTCCTCCTCCTCCTCCCGAGGGTCATCGACAAGGCATCTTATCCTCTGTGTTTAGAGTTTTGCCATGAAGATGAGTAATGCCTCGTCACCTCCATCTAACACTCCTGTCACAAGATAAAAGTTTTTTTCATCTCTTATCGTAGGTGCATGGGAGACAAGGGCAAGGGTGCATGAGCGAGGATGACGAGAGTGCACCGATGAGGGCACACGAGCAAGGATGATAATGAAAACAAGAGCACGTGAGCAAGAATGATGACGAGAGTGAGGGCATGCAAGCAAGGACAATAAAAAGCAGATACAACAATCAACAAATGTGAGGTGGCCTTGCAATAGAGGTGGCAAGCGACACTAAGGGTAGAGGCGATGGGGCGAATGCGATAACTGATAGGGCCAAGGCGAGAAGCAATTTCATCTCTTGGAAAATAAGAGGTGCGCTTGAATAAATAGAAATGGGAGGCTGATTAGGGAAAAAACAAAAAAGAAAATAAGAGATTTTTTTTAAGGTATTTGCCCATGGATATTTACGAAAGTAACGATCATGACCTTTGTTCTTGATTAGTACGATCTCCACCGTCGGTTAACTCCTGTTAACCACCGCTCGTTCGCCTACATCCATGCCATGTCGGCAAATACCATCACCTTATCACATCTCGTTTCAGCCTATAGAAGCAGCCCGATACGATTTCCCCTCCTCTCTCCGCCACCCATTGCAGCGCCCACCGCCCCCGCTCTCTCTCTCTCGATTGGCTCAGACACGATCTCATCATCTACTTTCTCTTTCTCTCTCAATAGATATATGTAGCCTACCACTGCAACCTCGGTTGAAGAAGACGGTAACAGCGTGAGCAATGGCCAGCATGACCACCACAGCAGTCACCATCCCCTCCTTCACCGGTCTCAAGGCAACCGCCGCAAGGTCCGGCGCCATCGTTGCCGTGGCGAGCCCCAGGGCGAAGGTGGCCGGCGTGTCCGCGAGGGCCTCCCTCAAGGAGGTGAAAGTGGCGGCCGTGGCCGCGGCCGCGGCCGCCAGCGCGCTGCTCGCGACGGGCAACGCGCTGGCCCTCGAGGTGCTGCTGGGGGGCAACGACGGGTCGCTGGCCTTCGTGCCAGGCGAGTTCAGCGTGGCCGCCGGGGAGGCGATCGTGTTCAAGAACAACCAGGCCTTCCCCCACAACGTCATCTTCGACGAGGACGAGATCCCCAAGGGCGTCGACGCCGCGGCCATCTCCATGAGCGAGGAGGACCTACTCAACGCCCCCGGGGAGACCTACTCGGTGACCTTGAACGAGAAGGGCACCTACACCTTCTACTGCTCGCCGCACCAGGGAGCAGGAATGGTCGGAAAAGTCACAGTCAACTGATGCCTAGTCTGCCACCGCCGCCTCTCCTTTCCTCTCCTCTCCTCTCCTCTTCTCTTCTGTGTCAAATGGAAGAAGAATTCGAGTAGTGTTTTGCTCACTACTCATCTGTATATTTGTCTTGACATTTATTATCAATAATAATTCTGTTGTATGAAGCTATCTTCTGATGAAAAAGAAATTAATGATCCATGAAGAATGAGTGCTTATCTTTGCATCATAATAAGATTTTAGAACTCCATGCAAATGAACATGTCAAGTTATCTAGCATGACTAAAATGACAAATCTTTGTTCTACTTTTGTTGTGACTGCATTTGATCTGAGGATATACTGCTACATGGTTAGTGTGTCAGGAAGACTTGTGGGGTCTCCTAAGATCTTACCTCCGACGTCGGGGAAACACTGTTGGTCGGGCAGAGCTCCTACTTTGCCATCAGCTTCTACCTTGATTGGGTACTTGAGAAGGTGGCCGGTCAGTGAACTCACCTCCTTAGCGGCGTACCTGCACCAGTTATCGTCGGCTATCTTGTTCACGAGTCTTACGCACTCCAAGCTGTCGGGCTGCTCGAATCGTTCGTCTACCGATCCCAGCTGCTCTGCCCAGAGAGACATCCTGTATCCATATATCTGCAGCAGAGCATCAAAATGCAGTCAGGATACAAGATAATGAAATTTCATAACAGGACTTAGACATTTACTTTGCCTAATTGTGATGGAGATGACAATTCCAATATCCTAACGCTAACTTGGGAATCAAAATTTTATCTAGATAGAGCACAAATGCTTACTACATTGACAACCTACTCAAACAGTTAGAACAGGTAATGCACTCAGCTGCTTCTCCCATCTGGTCAGAATCTTGAAATCTAACCTTCGTCGACGATCTACTTGAACACAATTCCTTTTCCTAATTTTGATGGAGATGGCATTCATATATGCAGGAAGCCTTGTACAACAATTATCATAGTGTTAAATATAACATGCTGTCATATATTATTGCACTCAGCTGCTTCTCCCACCTAGTTAGAAACACTAGATCTTGAGACCTACTTTTCAACTATGATCTCCTTGAAGGCATTTCCTTTTCTTAATTTTGATGGAGATGAGATTCATATACCCAGGAAGCCTTGTGCAACTCCTCGGTGTCCTAGTGCCAAATTGGATATGGCTTACAACATTAACAACCTACAACTTATTGTCATATTATTGCTCAAGCATTTAAATAGGTCATCACTCAGCCGTTTCTCCGACCTATTTAGAAATACTAGCATCTCGAAACCTACTCTTCATTGATGATCTCCTCAAGTCTAAGCTTTGCCCTGGGAGTGAATGAAATATGAAGTGGAAAGTGTAGTCAATGTTTCAAGACAAAAAAAAAAAAGATTGGTTGCATCTATAAAACAACCTTATTTAATTGATATCATAATTTTGTGTCTTCAGCCATGACACAACTGGAGAACATGAAACTATGCATTCCTTCCATTAAAAATCATGTCAAGCATTGATATCATGATATCACTTCAATCGACATCATTACTCAGGGCAGTTCTGTCTGCACCAATCATTTTACGATACTTTTTCCGTTGCGATATTTCAAAGTTCTAACATAATTTCAAGTATTCAGTAGCACTTTTTATCTCTAAAATTGTCCATCTAAGCTTGTGTAGCTTTTCTTAGTGTAGCAGATTAACTAGGGAGTAATTGTTGCACCCAGTCCACGTCTCTTCTAAGCTTGCAATTAACTATTTCCTAGATTGCTCTCACACTAGCTGATCCAATAACAGGAAACTGTAATGATTATATAACAAAGAAAAAAACATTATAATCAATGACCAGAAAACAACTTGAGAAGATTAATAAATGCTAATAAGATCTTTTAAAAACAGACATGTTCCAAATAGATATTTATATCAATAAATGCCCATGTTAAATTTGAGATGACACAGAAAGGAAAAGAACCAAGAATATAATGTCACCAACCTGACCATGTGGGTGCCTTTCTTTCTCAGCCCATGTTTGATGAGGTTGGTATGCACCCATGGCGATTTCGGTATCTCTTGAACCAGCCAGAGATCTTTGATTGATGTTAGAAGATCCCATTATAACGTATTCATCATCTACAATCATCCCTTTTGCATGAACATATATCATGAATCGCCGAGACTTTTGTGTGAAGACCTGGGTAAAATTTAGATGGCAACTGTAAGTAATTATTGTGAACCATAATACAATAAGTTAACAACTATATCTTTTCGAAAGGCCTTAGAATCTGTTTCTATATTAAAAAAGAAGCACAAATGCTGTTCTAATAATCAGAGAAGAAGAGAACATGTATCAATAAAGAAAAGAAAACGAAGGAAAGATGATTTGGAATTGGCTGAATGATGAGAAGATAATGATAACCATCTTAATAGTAAGAAACATATTGTTCACAAAGAAAACAGCTGACATTTTAACCAGCAAATATTCATGGATATTAACCATATACTCATGAATGTTTACCAATTTTGATATAGTTCTTAATTTCTTATTTTATCTAGCTTGTGTGACTCTGATGAAACCGCTTTTGCATGTATAAAACCAATGTGGGAGTGAAATAGTTCTCCACATATGAACTCTCTAGTATGATTACAGCAAATTATAAAGACAAGCAAAGAAATTGATTGCCTATAAGTTCCTTCACTTCTAAAAATGTCTCAGAATCTTTGGTCGGTTATGATTGCAACACAAGTTATTTAATCTTGAAATGAATTTATTTGCACTGCGAAGTAGATCTAATTTACCTTTGCTTGTTTGCTGCACACACAGAAGAGCTTTGAGTCTGACAAAATTATTAGCTATGAGAAGGCGTATCAACCTAGAGAAAGCAGTCTAGGTCTATGAGATTACCAAGTACTACAAGAAAGCTTTTGAGACTTGATATACTTGAACAAAAAAATAACATAGTCAAGTTCCTGGATGCTTATGAATATAGTACCACTGGACTTCTTTCTGAAGAGTGACCATTTGATTGCAACTCATCCTTGGACAATTCTTCACGGTTTCCAAGACAGTAGAAATTAAGATAATCTTGCGGATGTGAATCTTCGAAGTTCACAGCTTTAAGCTCCTTTGCAATGATTTCATACATCATCTGCATAGTCTGACCCTGCAAGGACGAAACAATGTAATTTAAGTAGCATTGAGATAGAGATTAAGAAAGCCCATAAAGTAACAAAATGAAGGCAAGATCAACTCAAAGAATCCAAAAACTATGCTGTCACTTGGTTGGTGGGATTATTTGTAGTAAGAATGCTGCATGACACTTATCCCTAAGTTGAATAGTAAATGTTTTTGGTAAGTTCTTAAGTCTCCCTCTACTTCTCTCGCACGATCAGTTGTTATCAACTCATCTCATCTAACCAAATGTCTCCCTTGGACATGTTCATCACATCATAAACAAATTTTCCTCATTTGTCTTCTGTTGAAGCTGTATCAAATTCACAAACATAAACATTTCTTATTATGTCCTCTAACAATCCCAAACATCAATCTCAACACCCTCATCTCAGCAACACTTGTCCATGTTGTAGTCTAACTGCTCAACATCCCTATACATAAATCAATTAAATAGAATACTACAATAATATAATTAATTTAACTAAATTGATTTTGCAAAAGGAAAAAAAGTAACATCTTTTTTGTTTAAGAGAAGCTCAATAAAATGTTCATCAATCATTTGCCATTCAGGAAAAAACAAACAATTTGATGTTCTATATAAATGAGATGATACCTGCCAGAAGAGGATTTCTTGCACACTGGAAGTAGTAGGGACTCCTTCAGGCCACATAGGTATAACCACGTATACAGCAAACCGCTCTTTGGCTTTAATTTTGCCAGCAATTTTTAATGCTAATTCCATAGGTATCAGATTATCAGCACCTGTTGATGTCAAGGAAGCTTTTATTAAAAAGAGTCTCAGCAACTAACAATAATTCTTCAAAGAAAGGATGGCTCTTATGCATCATTTAGCATAAGTCTGCAGCTATACTTTTATTTAACCAAATCTAGCAAAGTGCTCATAAATCTTTGCCAGATTATGAAGACCAGACATAAAACTACAATTTTCGAATTTAATTCACATCAGAAAAGGCATAGTTAATATAAATAAAGCCAAATATTGATGATATAAGCATCTAGAAAACTAATTAAGAAAAAAAATCATGTGATCAATAGTTGAGTGCATCTTTGTAGAAGCATTGGTTACTTCACTCAGCATCATTGTTAGGAATGCTGCAAGCAAACTAAAGTGATAGACATGTTTGTGATGTTGGGAGATACGATTTTCTTACATGTAGGAGGGTGCTCCAAGGGTCGAGTTTTCAGAAAACTGGCAACTTAAAGATTACGGTGTGGTTTTATTACATGTTAAAAATAACATACTAGTAAAATGGACTTGAGCGAACCTGAATTTTTATAAAATGGCCAAGCATAAGAAGACCCCAGAAAATACTGATTCTCAATATATATGAAATGTTGTGCAGATCTGATTGCCCTCACATATGCTGTGTGGATGCTCTTATCGATGATCAGATTCTTTTGACAGACAAGGTTCTGCAACAGTTGATAGTAGATTAGCCTATAAGATCCAGATTGAAATGAACCAACTAACTAGCTTTTATTGAAAAAATAATGGAAATGATGAAGCTATACAACTTTATTTAAAACTGAAGTATGAGTCAAATAGGTGTGTATAAATTGGCATCATCAAAATAGAAAAATAATAGACTTGATAAGTTGTAATAGAAGTTGTACTAGTATAAAGTAGACATACTCCATGACAAGAGACTAACCTTTCGTAAGGCTTCTTGAGGGTTCTTCGGAAATCCCTTTACTGATCCAGAGTCTATAGATCGAAAAATCTGTAAACTTAACATTCAGTCACTAAAAATATAATAAAATTTCTTATTACTAGTAATTGTATGTTATACAACCTGAACATGCCAAGGTCCAGCATCTTCTTCACTTGCAACCCATAAACTTGGATCATCATTTGGAACAGTAGGTGAAGGACTAATTATCCATGAAATCCGTTCAAGCTTTATTAAAGCATCATCGTGCCAGTGGGATACCTTTTTTTTAAAACGTAGCCCAAATTCTCGCCATTTTGTTGCCTTACACCAGTGCTGTTCAAAATTCTCCAGAACATCATAAGCAGCTGGACCTTCAATTCTGCAGTGTAAATCATGCCATGGTTGTCTTGGTCCTTTAGTTTCTAACTGTGGATCACCCTAATACAAAAGAAAAAGATAACATGAACCAATATAATATCAAAGCTAGTAGATGTTCAATAAGCAAACATGTATGTTTAGGGCTCATGCAAGCAGACTGTCAAAATCATAGTTAGTATGAATTAAGCAAACATAACTGACTTGCTCTAATCATGAAAATTAGAATTTTCTTTTTACCATTGCAATATTGATCTGTCTATGTTGATGTAAATTAATCTATCAACTATGATCACAAATCATAAAAAAAGAAAATAGCACATGCATCATCCTGAGAATTGTAGATGCCAAAATATTTGGAAGTCTGTTCATTTTTGTCAACATTTTTTCAATTTTAACGGTTAATAGACAGGTACTCTATACCTGATTCCTTCCTGTACATGTATGCATCCAACAATCTGAGTCTGTACAACTAATGATTTATTTCTTTTTGAGAAAATACCATATATGTGAAGATATAGCAGAGAAAAGATTAGTATTCATAGAAGACTTCATGATCATATACTTTGTTGATTATTAGGTGATATTAAATGAAAATCATGAGTTTGCTACAGCTCTGCTGTAAATGCACAATGATAAAGCCACTTGGACAGAGAAATAGAGAGGTAGAGGTAAACCTTCACAATACTTGGCTTTGATTATAAAATCTCTAATATTGCTGTTATAATAAATTCCTTCTGCAGTGATGATTAAACGTCTCAGGTTCATTAGATCTTTGATAAAACTTTGATTACTTATTAAGCATGACAATTATAAGATAATGGATCATTGTTTGAAAACAAGGCTTACCAGAAGATATAGGAATGTGCACAGCAATATTTTATCAGTGTGTGTACTGTCTAGTGTCTATCACTGACTACATTAACTTAAATATGGACATAAGGAAACTACACTATGATGAGTGATGACAATAAGCTGACCAAGCAGTTCATAAATGATTCAGGAAGAGAAAGTTGGTGTAACTGACACTTGAAGACCAATAGGTAGAAAGAATGAGTCATCTAATAAAAAAACTGGTTTAGTAAGTGTCTCACTAGAGTCATTTCAACAACAAAGGACCTCAAAACTAATCAAAGAGAATTAAGTGAACTTGCAATCTGAATAGCTAAACTTTATAAATTACACAAGAAAAAAAAACATTTTGAGAGGAAAAATGAGAAGAGAAAGGAAAAATATACTCACAGCAAATGTAGGATTATGAAAATCATTCAAAAAGACACTGTCAAGTTCACGAAAAAGTCTATGCTCTGGTGTATCATAGCGGCCATCACAAAGATCCAGACCTCCTATGAAAGCAGTTATTTTTCTATTATTCCCAGATGCCTGTGTGTCCACAAGTACACATTTCTGGTGGTGCGTAAAGAGAGTTCCAACTACCTGATAAAGAGGAAACGCAAGGTAACTATACAATTTTATTTTCTTCTCAATGGACCTGTGCAAATCAGATAAAACAACAAGCTGTATATTTGTACAGTGTACATGGTAAGCTAATTGGCACCAATTGTTTAAACATAGTAGATTATTTTGTCCTAATCATAGGCTATGGCAATTTTTGTTTGTTCCTCCTCTTCACTTTCCTCCTGTTCTACTCTTCTGTTAAGTGTAAGAGCTACCATTATAAACTTATTACTTTAGTTAGTTCACAAGATTTTATATATCCAATATCTTTTATCAAAGTAAGCAATAATTGAGAGGGAAAACGATAAATAAAATAGACCAAGTTCTGTGGCATGCAAGAAAACCATGAAGATTGTTCTGATTACTGAGAAAAAGAGATGACACTAATTATATACCCTAAAGAGGAAATGATGTCTAATTTTGGTTTTATACTATATTTATTGTTCTTATTTTTATCCTGATAGTTGATAGTTTTCTTTTCTCTAACCATCCATCTTTTGTCCCTAAAAGACCATCCATGTAAACATCTGGAATTTGAATAAATGTATCTCTCCAAGCCCTTGTGACCACATCCTGCAAGACTTTATAATTTAAATGAAATGTTAATGGAAATACATTTATTTTCAAAAAAATCAAAGTATAAAAATTTTTGAACCAAATGCAAAGCCTCATAAAGATATAGACAGTTTAAAATGTCAAGATTGAATTCTGGATAGGGGCTTAAAAATGGTTAGGAGTATATTAAAAAGAGAGCATAAAGTTTCTTTTTCAACTTCGAAAAGGTATGGTTCCAAGGAAGAAGAAAGCCCTAACAACCATGAAAAGGACATATTAATATCTTGTTGTTATGGTAACATAAACTGAAGGATTAATGTGACCTATTATTTGATTTTTTGTGGCCAAGTATGTGAAAATAACAAATTAATGAATTCATATGCAACTTCCAAAGACTTCAGAGTTTAATATACAAAAAACCATTTACTTTTAATTTCACTACCAAAGGAGAACATCATTGATTGGTCCTTCAAACATCTTTGTAATTCAAGGGAAATCTTGATTAGTTGATCTAAGAATCACAACAGATGGGAAATATTATGGTGTAAAACATGCCTGCTGCTTGACAAAGCTAAGCTTACTGCTCGCATAACGAGGTGCTAGAACACAAATGACAGAGGAATGCTTGAAAAACTTCCGAGTTTCTTCATCGTGAGTTTGCATTACTCCTTCCTGCCAGAGAAAGGTCAGATATCCAACTAAAGTATATCAATTAAGTTCACTAAAATGCCAGTCAAGACTCCCTGATCATGATATATTTCGTAAATCACAAGCAAATTAACCTGTACTAATTTCCTTGAATTGCCACAAGCACATAATGAATCTAATACTCACTGTTGTGGAACAAAACACATCTGTAAAGAGTGGTACATCTCCCAGTGGAAGATGTACTCAAGAAATCTGAAAAGTATTACTCAATCGAACGCTATAAGATCAAGGAACTCAAGAATTGGGAAAATATGTGTCCAGTCAGATTGGATTGTGCTGACAAAGTCAAAGATTGAACATCATGAATGACACTGGAAACAACGATGCTGCCAGGAAGTAATCTATGCAGAACTGAAGATTGGATTCCTCTTACCGTCTTGATGAAGAAATTATGGTGAGAAGTCTTGTCGTCCCAAACCAACATGCACACCCGAACCCCCTCCTGGGACTTGTACTTGAGCAGCTCCCCCAACGTCAGCTGCCCCGCAGTCGGCAGCGGCCTCGTCGGCTCTCTCACCAGCTTCACCTTGTGATATATAGACCAACCGGTGATATAAATCAATTGATGCGCCTCGAGAATGGCATGGCAGATGTCCTCCCAGCACTTGTTATGCTCAAAGATGGCTCCTTCCTCGAGCCTAATCTCTGGGAGCTCGCCATCCCTGACATGTGCGTCCTGGTAGAGCGTCACCAAGCACCCCTTCCGGACGGGGAAGTAGGCATCGCTCACCCCGCGCTTGTCGGGATCCCCGGCGATCCCATGCCTGTGCTCCACGCTCTCCTCCACGGGCGTGTACTGGAGGGACACGCGGAGGGCGGTATCGGGCTTCGGCGTCCTCCCACTGGGCGCGATCACCGGGAACCATTCGTCGATCACCTCGCCGGAGGCGATGCGGGCAACGGGAATGGAGACGGTGCCGATGAGCTGGGAGCCGAAGACGTCGTTGTCCTTGACGTGGAGAACGAGGGCCGCGGCGCTGTGGGCGACGGGGATCTTGAAGCGCTCGTTCCAGATGGGGTTCTGGGAGTTGTGGATAACGCGGGTGCGGGCGACGGTGGCACCGGGCGGTGACGCAGGGGTCGGAGGTGGCGATCTTCTTGCGGTGGCCGCGGCGGCCGTGGTCGGGGGTGGGGTCGGAGTCGCTACTAGGGAGGACAGGGCTGCATGGGGCGAAGCAGCAGCGGAGGTACTCGGAGAGCATGTCCATGTTGGGGAGGCGGCGTGCCGCGAGCACGGACAGGTGGATGTCGCCGTGGAGGAGGATAGCCTCATCGGCGGCGGCGGCGGCGGAGTGGGATCCCATCGAGCCGATGGCGAAGGGAACAGCAGGGGCGGTCAAGATGGAACATTCAGGAGGGGAGGAGAAGGCTTCGCGGTCTGAGATAAAGCGGAGAGGTTTGCGGGGGCGGTGAGGAGGCCGAGGAGGCGGCAACTGGCGCAACGGTCGGGTCGTGCGGGGTCATGCGTTAAGATTCGCGAAATCCTTGTGATGCCTCGCTTTCGGGAATCACGGCGCATCATCACTTCGCAACGTGATGCATGTGTACCCAATAAACCCCCAACACACAAGTTTTTTTGTAAGAATTCATGAAAGAAATCTCACATTTTGGGTTTCTATTGGGAGTGTAAAATAAATTTTACGATTTATTATAGTATTTTAGATGTAAAATTTTAAATAGAAATTATAATTTCCTTTCAAAAAACAAAATTTAATTACTTTAACTATGCAAAGTACATAAATAATTCTGTCCATCGAAAACAACATTCGATGTGGAAAGCCTTTTCCTTCTCTCGTATTTACAGTTGAGAAGGAGAAAAAGAATAAAGATATCAGTTTAATTGAAGAGTAGTGAGACGAGCGGCAGCCCTCCTCTTCCAAAGGCTCGACGACACCTTCCTTGGCTCGACGGCCACCACCCCACCGCCCACCATGATGGGTGCAGAGTGAGCAATGATCACCTCCTCCGTATCCGCTGCCTTCCTCCAGTCGAAATCCCCCAAGCTGTTGCGTCCGCCGGCGGACCTACTCATCCCTCCGAGCGACGGTGGTGCAGACACCGGCGGCCTGCTCTTCCCGCCACCGCCCGCCGGCCCGACCTTGGGACGCCGGAAGATCTGGCGGATGAAGGATGCCAGCTTCCATTTTCGACCCGGTGGTGGGGGCTTCCGGCAACACCCGGCGGTCATCTTCTCGAGCTTGATCTGGCCCATGCACGTCACCTTCGGGGACGAGGGTTCCTGCGGCGCCTCGAAGCCGCCGCGTCTCTTCTGCTTGCGTCGAGCTTCTATGGGTATAATGGAGCCTGTGATCGGCCCCGAGAAGGATCTGCTCTGGCCATGAGCCCTCGGCTTCATCGGATTCTCGCGTCCGGTGGCAAGCTTTGGCAGGAATGTGATGATGCTTCTATCTGGTTTCTCCATGTAGAGAACGAAAGCTGAATGAGTCTGTATGATGTGACAGCTTCTGTAGCTATGGAGAAGAAGATGTTGATGGTGATGGGAAGAAGAAGACGAACGACGATGAGCATGGTCAATGGAAGAGATATTAAGGGCCATCTCCAACTGTCAGCCATCGGACATTAGAATAACAACGAGTAGTAGTAAGCTGTCAATGTGCTACTAGTGGCAATGCGGATAAGGATTGCGGTCAACGATTTCTGCGCTGAAGATGACAATAATCCCGGTCGGGGGTTGACCGTCAAGAAAAGACTCGGTCGAGGAATTTTTACAATAAAAATATTAAAGATTTAAAATTAATTTTGATTATTAAATATTTAAGATTCAAATTTTGATTCAATAAATTTTTTAAGATTACAACTATTGATAGTAAGATATTAAGAACAAATAATGTGTTTATAATTGATAAAATTATCATACTATTTTAAATATATATATATATATATATATATTCTGTTAAATTATAATATAAGTTAATTATAAATTATCTCTTATAATTAATTATCTTTAACCTCTTTTAATCTCGTTTTTTCAAAAAAAAATACATGACAAAACCGACGACATAAAAAAAATCAAATATTTCATTTATTTTATAAAAATAAAAAAAATATTAATATATTTTTTAAAAATATAAAGATCGAAATACTAAAGATAAATAATTACATAAAATAATATGTAATTAATTCATCACCCTTATAGAAAAATAAATACTTCTTAAAAAAATAATGATAATTTAACTTTTTTTTTGAGATAAACAGTTTAATTAGCTAATCATATACCACATTATATTGATTTGGATCGAACCAAACGATTTATTTGGCCTGTCAAATTTGGTACCATAATCCATCAAAACAAGTCGATTTTGTCATCCAAGTCAAGCGATCATTCATCCAAAGTAATTTAGTTTTGTCTACATCCATGTCATTCCAAATGTATATATCAAACACCTAATCTAATGAAACGTATATAATAACCAAAACCCGTTTGTCATTTTAGGCTTAATCACATTCCACGGAACTGTTTTCCGATACCATAGACATCTCTATCAGCCAGTGTTGTTCACGGGGGGAGTCTTGAGGTTACAAACACACCTATGGATACCTAACTATTTATTCACTTGTGATCTAAAACAAACAAGTAAACCAGGCGACAAGATCATAGTCCGAAACACCATGCCATGGCATCAGGCATCTCGTAGTCCTAGTCCAGCATTCGAACCTTTACGTCAAGAGATTCTTGCACTCTGATGATGAATCAACAACGCAAAGATCAGCGGGTACTTTCCTCATCCTCGTTGCTCATCTGTGGAGTATACTGACTGGTGGATGATGGGGAGTAACCCGGTGACGTTGGCGAGTAGCCTGCACTCGGACTGCAATTATAATAGAAGCTAGGTCAAGTTTTGTTCTTAGAAGTGATGGCTTGTGGTTTAAACTGTAAACCGAAAATAATGAAATTTTGAGTAACCTGTACTGTGGAGAACTTGGGCTGTAATCTGGACCAGAACGGGAGTTAAATGGGCTGCAAAGGCACAAGAAGAAAGAGAAAAAGATATTAGTCAACTATGTTCAGTGTTCTCAAAGAGGCAAACTTGTAAGTGGCATACTAAGTCACATATGTTCCGGTGAGTCAGTTTAGTTTCAAGGTAGGTTTATCATCTTCCCTCCACTCATCTCACACAGAAATGTGTTATTCAATATTTCTAGTTGTGAGAGCGAGCTTAGCACAAAATGATACATTTAGGATGAGTGACATAAATTTTTACTGACTAGGATAAATGAGGATAATTTCAGAAAAAGAAATTGGGCCTTGTAAAATCATTACTTCATGGTAGTTCTAACTTTGATCTATAGATTGATAATCAGATTCCAGCACAATAAAAAAAAGTTATACTCACTGAAAATTCAATAATACACTTTATGATATTTATCAAGATACACCTCTGCTAGTCATATTAGGGAGTTCAGTTAGTGCTGAACTTCCCGAGCAATTTGTTTTCTTTCTTCTCGTATAAATAGAACCACCGTTCTGTTGTGATACTGATGCTTCCACGTTAACAAATTGAATAAGTTTATCATCAAATATCTTAATTAATATGAGTGAAATAATATGAGGGGTGAACGAACAAATGGAACAGTTTCTCTTTGAATACAGATATTAAATATGTTATTAATCATCTTACTCCATGAGTCTGCAACCAGTAACATGAATAAGTATGAAGAAAGAAACAATAATAATGGTGCTGGTGACATACACCCAAATTTTCCAATGAGTAAAATATGGAACTTTAGATAAGGCAACTATTCTATAAGTTGCCTTTTCCATGTCATATATCTATTAGTGGCCTTTTCCATGTCATAAATCTATAAGTGACAATGAAGGTGCATGAATAATCAAGCAAAAACTGAAATTGACATTAACAGAGAATTCGGTGATTACATTTCTCCCCCACTTAATAGAAATTTGATCCTCAAATTTGATTAAAAATAATATTAATCAATATAGTTAACTCTTGAAATACTAAGTCAAATGACAAAACTAAATTAGCTTGAAAAATATTCAGATTTAATATGTTACTCCAAAACTTTTAAATCAAAAGATATATATTTTTTAACATAAAATATATGACAAATTAATGAAACTCATTGAAGAAATTTAGTTTTAGGTTACCCATAACAAGTATATTAAATTTTATATCTGATAAATCAATAAAATTTTGAAGTTTTAAAAATTGATTGATTGTTGACATAAAATATAAGTTGAGGTGCAACTCAACAATAAAAAACAATTGAAATGATAAAAATTTATCCAACTATTCAACATATATATTTTTTTATAATTTCAAATTATTTATATATTATATGTGTCAAAGAAATAACATTATATTTAATTCTCATTAGATCTCGTCATTACATTAAACAAATAATATCTTATAATTAATTTGATATTAAATCAAAACTCTATTCAAATTAATTACCCATATAATTAAGTTTAAATATCAATGCATGATCAAATTTATTCAACTTCAAAGGTACATATTTTACTAATGTCAACAATAACTTTTACAAACTATCCTAGCACATGTAAAATATAATCCTAATTTTAAGAATAATATATACTAACAAAAATTATAAAGGTAAATATTTTTTAATTTATATTTTTAAAAGATCCTATAAAATTTTTGTACCTAAAATTATCAAAACTTTTACATCTAAGAAAATAATTGAAACTTAGTATAATCTTCAATTAGTAAAACTAGATATTTTAACTATAAATATTCATAATAATGTCAGACAAAACTAAAAAAAATTAATTATCGATTCTAAAGAAACAACATAATAAGGCACTCAAGAAAGCTCGATCTTTTACAACAGATGTAAACCCTTACCTGTAATTTGGAGATGATTGACCGTATGGACTGGATGGTGACAGCCTTGGACTGCTTGGAGAATAAGCAAGCGAAGGACTGTACTTTGCTGAGGCAGGATTGTAACTTGGAGATGTGGGGCTATAACTTGGGGATGTAGGACTATAGCTAGGAGATGTTGGACTGTATCCCGGAGAAGTTGGGCTATAGGCAGGTGAGGTAGGACTGTATGATGGTGAAGTCGGGCTATATGAAGGTGATGTTGGGCTATATGAAGGTGATGTCGGACTATAGGAAGGTGATGTTGGACTATAGGATGGTGAGGTTGGGCTGTAGGCAGGAGATGTTGGACTGTAGGCTGGGGAAGTCGGACTGTAAACTGGAGAAGTAGGGCTGTAGCTTGGCGAAGTAGGACTGTAACTGGGGGAAGTTGGGCTGTAACTGGGGGAAGTAGGACTATAAGTAGGAGATGTAGGGCTATAACTGGGAGAGGTCGGGCTGTAGCTGGGAGAAGTTGGCGAATATGATGGACTTGTCGGAGAGTAAGCAGGACTTGTAGGACTATATCCAGGAGAGCTAGGACTGTAGGTCGGAGAAGTGGGACTATAACCGGGAGATGTAGGGCTGTATCCTGGAGAAGTAGGGCTATAACCTGGAGAAGTAGGACTGTATCCCGGAGATGATGGACTGTAGCCTGGAGATGATGGACTGTAACCTGGAGATGAACTGGGGGAGAAAGCCATTCCACCAACATAAGGAGAAAACTGAGCATCTGTAATCGGTGAAGCACGAATATTTGGGCTCAGCAAGTAACTTGGAGACATCATTCCTTCATGATATGGTGTCCCGGATATGGGTGATCGAGATGGTGTCATTCCAAAATCAAATCCACCAGGACCACCAAAACCACCATCCATATAACTAGGAAGTTGGAGTTCAATCGCCTGTTGCAACATCTGATCATTCAAATACAGTGCACAATCACCTGTGCCAATTGGTGCAAGCTGACCAAGCATAATATTTTCAGTAACTCCTCTAAGGTGGTCACCTTCAGCATAGACAGCAGCATCAAGGAGGATGTCAACAGTTTCCTCGAATGAACATCTCATCATGGGGCCAGTATCATTTCTATTGATACCATGCCGGGTGATGGCCATTAGGTGACCTCTGTAGGTCATTGTGTCACATAGAATAGCCAAGTGACGGTAATTCACATAAGATCCATCAAAAGATATGACCACACGCAACTCATCCAAGAGAGATCTCCGAACAGCCTCGATGCCAAGAACCTCAATAACTTCAATCAAGTGGTTGCTTGTAGTCCTAGTTGCATCAATATCTTCATGGCACATAACAGCCAAAAGATTAACGCCTTCAGTGTCGAGCATCCACTCAACATCTGGTTTGAAGCCTTCATTTTCATCAAACCTATTTATCTTTCCTGACTTGATAAAAACTTTATTGATATCAGGAATGCCCCGAAGTGCCATTTCGGTCAACATGTTGCTCTCGATCTTTTTCAAGAAGACATCATCCTCCGCAGATTCGTCTTGTAATTCACCTTTAGGCGCATCATCATTCATGATACGAATACGGAGGATGAGCTTGTCTGCATTATCATCATTAAAGATGCATGTCAAATCATCATCAAACTCATGATTGATCTTCTCTGCAATGTCTGCCATGCTCAACTTCTTGTCAACCATCATCTCGCGATTCAGTTCAATACGAAGCAGCCAAGGAGATATCTTTTCAGGAGCAATATCCTCATCTGGCATTTCATAATATGACTTGACAAATTCCACATCTTCCTCAATAATGGTACTCATAGGGTCAGGATCATACCATATTTCAGTGGCATGTGTAACACTTCGCAGTGTTGTGTATTCCAATGCACATTGTACATTCTTAGCCAGTTCTTTCTTTTTATTAACCCCAGGCTTCAAATAAACAGAAAGAGAAGGAGTTTTAATCTTCTTAGCAACATTAATAATTTCCCTCAACCTGGGAACTCCAAGAGTGACATTCTTGGCACTCACACCAGCATAATGGAAGGTATTTAAGGTCATCTGTGTAGCTGGCTCTCCAATAGACTGGGCAGCTACACAGCCAATCATTTCACCTGGAGCTACCAGTGACTGCAGAAAACGAGATTCAATTTCACCAATAACCCATTCAAATGCCTCACGAGTGAGCCTATACTCCTTCATAACCCGTTTGCTAGCAAATGAACTACGAAGAAGGATATTGAATAATAAAGTAGCATTTTTTTGAGCCTCCATGCTCAAAAAATCATCACCAGGAACCACTTTGAGCCTTTCTTGAAGCTTATCAATAGCTTCCACAATCTCCATTGGGTGCATGTCAGATGGCCTTCTCAGATCAATCTTGAATGTCTTTTGTGCATTCCAGATAAGTCTCTTGAGATTCACAGGCATAGGAATTGAGATATCACCAGTAGTAGCAATCTCAGTGCCAAGCTGGTAACGGTCAGCTTCTAGTTTCTGAACCTCTGCATCAAACACATTTCTAAACTCACGGATAGTTTTCAAATCCTCAACATGCTCAGGTTGTAAGTAGCTAGGATTCCAGTTGTCATCATCGATCTCATACCTGAAAACACTATCAAACTCGCCCTTTTTCATCTTCAACGAATCAAATTTCTGGTACTCAATCCAAACAGCATCCATACCATCTTCTCCATATAAGAACTGAATAACATCCCCCAGAGAATTTCTGACAGTACCATCATATTTAACCATTATGTCTTCCATAGCCTTTACAAGACGACGTTGGATGTAGCCCGTCTCAGAAGTCTTGACAGCAGTATCAATCAAACCTTCCCTACCACCCATGGCATGAAAAAAGAACTCTTGTGGTGTCAACCCACGAAGGTATGAATTCTCCACAAAACCACGACTTTCAGGCCCATAATCGTCTTTAGTGAAATGAGGCAATGTTCGATCAATGAAACCAAAGGGTATTCGTTTGCCCTCAACATTCTGCTGCCCCACACAGGCAGTCATCTGTGAGATATTGATAAAACTACCTTTTGATCCAGCAGTAACCATGGCCTTTAAGTTGTTACTTTCGGATAAGCTCTTCTGGGCACTACTACCCGCATCATCACGAGCCTTATTCAGTACCTGAGAGGCAAAGCACCTGTTCAGTAGATGAACATGATATTTTTTATATGATGGGCTAAGTGAAAATTTCATGTGTTGTACCTGATTTACTCTATTTTCGAACGAGTCCATCATGGTTCGCCCAGGTTCAGCTTCCAATTGCTTCTCCTGTGCAAGCTTGATAAGATCTTTCACGTCATTTTTAGCTTTTGAGATTGTTTCATTGATTTTCTCCATTGTTGCTGCATCGGCAATTGTGTCTCCAATTCCAATACTAAAAGCATTCTGTAACAGCCAATAGTTCACAAGCCACTGTGTGTGCCCCAAAAATTTGCGAGCTGCATCTGGGCCAACTTCTTCCCTGATATACAAGTATGAAACAAAGCAAAATAAGTGCTAATGGGATACAAAGCAAAGTCATCATTTTCCAAACAAACAGCTTAGTTAGACTTACCAGATGACATGAATAAGACTTCCAGTAGATGTTCCTAGAGTTTTTTTGCAAAGGGTGCCTGAAAGAAGTTCACCCTTCTCAATTCGAACTAGAGTGTCACCTGGAGTAATGAAACCAGTTTCTGATTCTGAATGCCATGCTGAAAATCTTATTAAGTTTATTTGCTTTGGGATGATCAGGTTGAAAACTTGTTTTCCAGTCCACAATGGCCTAGGTTTCAATATAGCAGGAGCAGGTACCTTTCCATCAAAGTCTTCCCACCACATCAAGATGTTCATAAAGACATCCTGTCACAACATAATAAAAAAAAATCCCCTCTTCAATACTGATTCATCGAGACTAGATATTGTGAAGCAAAAGCACAAAAAGGCAAGCAAACAACACTTTTCTATTGCTAGCACCTTTTCTATAAATGTATCCCTTTTGGTAATCTTGCGACATCCCAGAAGGGTATCCTGGACAATACCCATAACAGGGCGATTTGACTGAGGTGAAACAATACACTTTGGTACCATCATTAGCTCTATGACTTCTGCTCTGGTTTCAAAAGATTGGGGAACATGCATGTTCATCTCATCACCATCAAAATCAGCATTATACGGAGATGTTACAGATAGATTTAAGCGAAAAGTTGAGTAAGGCATAATTTTTATCTTGTGCCCCATGATGGACATTTTGTGGAGACTGGGCTGCCGGTTGAAAAGAACAAAGTCACCATCACACAAATGGCGCTCGACCTACCAAAATAAAATAAGTTAATACAATGTAAACCGTAGAAACGAAAGTAAAAATAAATATAAAAAACCAATTATACAAACTGGCCTTGTATCCAAGCTCCAAATGGTGATCACTGCTTTTTTTCAAGTATCGAAGATCAAGCCTTTGACCATCTTCTCGTATGATATATTTTGCACCGGTTTTTCCAGGAGGAGGATGAGGCCCATATTCCACAAGTTCTTTTAATCTGCAGAAGCAAACAACTGTTATGAAACTGTCTATCATCCTCTATGTGACATTTATACAAGGCACCACATGAGCAAATTACCTCTCAATATTGTATGGGGTTACGGTCTCTGGGTACGTAAGATTCAAAGCTATGCTCCAAGGAACTCCGAGTTCATCAATGTTGATTGTAGGGTCAGGTGTAATAACTGTTCGTGCTGAAAAATCAACACGCTTTCCCATCAAGTTACCTCTAATTCGGCCTTCTTTAGCCTTTAGTCTACTGCATATAGATTTAATGGGCCGTCCTGACCGCTGTGTAGCCTGCACAAACAGAAAATGGATTTCACAAAAACAAACATACAAAATCATAAGGGAAGCACAGAACTGGGCAAGTCACATACCCTAGGCTGACCAGGAAGCTCATTATCAAAATATGTGGCAATGTGAAATTGCAATAATTGAGCAAATTCTGAAATAATGTGAGCTGGAGCTCCATTCCTCTCTTGCCTCCTCAAATTCTCATTGTGCCTAATTATCATTGCCAATTGATGTGTCAAATCATCCTGTTGTCAATAAAAAGTCAGCACATTTAAGACACTAAAAAAATGCAACTAGCTTAATTGTAACAGGTTAAAATGCTCTGGCTCATGTGCCTTTAACTCTGAACGAACTCACCTCACTCCTCGAAGAAGTATCCATCATCACAGAAGGTCTTACAGGAGGTGGAGGAATTGGAAGAACTTGCAATATCATCCAATCAGGGCGGGCATATTTGGGATTTAAACCCAATAGCAAACAGTCCTCATCGCTTATCCTCTTTAGAACACTAAGAACCTGCAAACATGTTTGAAAAAGGTAGACTTATGCATGCATTCTCCAGTTATGTAGTCCATTATGAAGAGTTCCAAGGAAATACCCTCTCAGCAGAAAGAATTTGTTTTCTCTCAGCAGGTTCAGGAAGCTGCTCTTGTTCATCAGATTTCTTTTTTGGAGCTTTATATTCTGCAACCATTTTCATTCCATCTATGGTAATGTTTGGCTGCTGAGCACCACATCCACCCCTGCTCTTCTTCATTGGTTCTTCTGAGTCTTGTTGACCCTGGACATCAATGTCATCACCACCAGAACATTTCTTCTTGCTTTTACAGGCATCATATATTCTCTTCAACCTATTTTTTGGGTTCCTAATTTTCAAAGCTTGCTTGAACCTGGTATCCTCCTGAAACAAAGAACAAATGTGGTAAGAAGGAAGTTTGTGCTTAAAATGCTAAGTAGTCATATGCTCATCACATATACAACCATAAAACCACTGTCTATCACAATTCTAGAAATAGAAGAGAGGCTGAACCTAAGCTTGCTGCTGCAAAAACAACATAGAGTTTCACATCCTAGCCATCCAAATAAGTTGAAGTTTGGCGCAAAAATTCGACAAAAAGGAACAATCTTATTATTTAGATAACAATTAAACCAATGATCAAGTAACTATCATGTCAAATATCAGTTTTTTGAAGAGTAAAAAACTAAAAGTACTCCCACCAAAGTCATGTTGCAGCTCTTTTCTCTAAGTTGTGCATACAAACTAAATTTCGCTCAGATTGTATATAGTAGCTAAAACTTCACATCCACCAATACAACCAGAAGAATACCAAAAATGAAGTTCTAAATTTACTAAGAACCTTAAAGTCTAGATCTTTTTTAGTATACTCAAGTTAAAGGACCATTTTCTTCGTGTTCCTATCACTTGAGCAAATGATTCCTAAGAGAGCCATCTGAAAGGTGCCGATCAATCGTACCTCATCAGCAAGGATCTTGGAGCAATTGAAGCAGACGCAACGCATAATAGCAAGCACCGTCTTGAGGAACCCGATATGGAACATGGGTTTGGCGAGCTCGAGGTGACCAAAGTGACCGGGGCACTCCGCCATGTTAGCCATGCAAGTCTCGCACTTCATCTTCCGGTCGATGGTGCCGAGCCGCGGGTCGCTGAGCCCTGCTGGCTTCGGCTTGCCCCGCTCCATCGTCTCTCCGTGCTCGATCTGCACCACCGACATTTGCCGCTGCCGCCCGACACCCAAACAAGAACCAAATCAGGCTCAACGAACCACCGAAACCAAGCATCAGTAGAACCCTAGAATGGGAAAGAAAACAGGGCGGGATTGCGAGGATTACGATCTCGTCGGGGCTGAGGATGCCGAACTGGACGGTGCGGACCTTGGCGACCTCGGCCGGTGAGAACGGGAATCGCGTGTCCATGACTGCAGAAGAGGGGAAAACACTAGGGTTTTGATCAAAAAATTGGGGCTTTCAGCGACGGAGAGAAAGAATCCAATCGAATTCCTGCTTCGAGTTCGTTTTTGGAGTTCGATTTGTCCTATGGCGGTCAATTTTTGCTTCGGCAAACTTGATGGATAGCGCGATCTCCTCCCATCTCACGCGGAAAAGGAGGCAACCGCGAGCCGAATCCAGTGAAAGAAAAGGAAAGGGGGTGGAAGGGGGGTGGGTCTATATTTATAGACGGAGGCCGACCTAGGGCGACGGGTTTCTGCTATCGTGCGCCGGAGGACAATTGGTGTTTGGCTTCGTGATGGTTGATCTGGACCATCCGATTGTTGTCGGCACGTGCGCAGTTGACTTGGACTTCCATTTTATCGGATTTAAAATCCTTTTTTTGGCTGATAGATTACATGACTCTGTAAGTGTTCACTTCTCACTTTTCCTAAGCAAAAAAGAGATTTAGTCTCGTACGAATATTTTTGGGGGAAAATAATTGTTTATTAATTAGCTTTGTTGTCCCAATGTTAGCTTTTAGTAACAAAAAGTTATTTATTATAATTTTTGTTGCTCGAGAATAAGATTAAATCCAGCTGCTATATCCACAAAGTAATTAGAAGTTGCCAAAAATCAAATCCCAAAAAAAAAATACTGAGAATATATATATATATATATATATATATATATATATATATATATATATATAAGCTTTAATTTCGATCTGTTAAAGGCGAAAATATCTGGAATTGGGCCTAAGCCGGCCCAATTAAACCTCGTCTCTCTGTACTCTGGATACAAAACCCTACAACCGCACTCGTCCGCTGCTGTCGCCAACCGTCGGCCATGGCTTTCCTGGACACACCAAGAAGGCCTCCTCGCTCCTTCCTTCTCCCTCTCCTTTGCAAACCCCTCTGCACTTCTCCTTCTCCGATCGACTCTCCCCCCTCCGACATCACCATCGCCACCGCTTCCATCTCCCCCACCGAGTCCAAGCTCCTCGATAACCTCCATGTCCTCATCAGGGACCACCACCGCGACAACCCCCACCTCGCCCCGTCTGCCGCTTCTCCTCCCCCTGATCTCACCATCCCGTCCCTCTCCTCCTCCTTCTCCAACCTCTCCCCCTCCCCTCCTTCCGCTTCCCTCGCCGCTCTCCTCGTCGACCGCTGCGCCTCCCTCCGCCACGGCATTCCCTTTCCGCAGGCCCTCGCCTTCTTCAACTGGTGGCTCGCTGCGTCGCCCTTCTCCTCCCCTTCCCCTGCCTTCGCTGCCGCCTTCATCGAAATGATTGACCTCTGCGGCAAGCTACGCCACTTCGACATCGCCTGGCACCTGCTCGACAAAATGCGCGCTTTGGGAATCCCCGTCACCAATCAGACGTTCTTCACCTTGATCCGCCGCTATGTTCGTGCTGGTCTCCCCGAAGATGCCGCCGAGGCCTTCCGCCGCATGCCGAACTACGGATGCGAACCCGAACCCAGTACATTTGCCTCCCTCCTTGCTGCCCTTTCAAAGAAACGCCTTGCTGCTGAGGCCCAGTCTCTCTTTGACGCCCTCAAGCACCAATTTCCTCCTGACGTTGTAATCTACTCTTCACTCGTCCATGCCTGGTGCCGTGCCGGTAAGCTCGACGAGGCCGAGCGTGTTTTTGCCGAGATGGTGGCGAATGGAATTCCACCAAATGTGTATACCTATACTGCTGTGATTGATGCAATGTGCCGAGCGGGACAGATTCCCCGTGCAAATGAGCTTCTTTGCCAGATGATTGACGCTGAGTGTTCGCCCAACGCAGCTACTTTCAATAGCCTGATGAGAGCGCATGTCAAGGCTGGCCGGTCGGAGAAGGTGCTGCAGGTCAATAACCAGATGAAGCAATTAGGGTGCGAGCCTGACATTATAACCTACAATTTCCTTATTGAAACCCACTGCAGGAAGGGCCAGAAGAACCTCGATGCTGCCCTCAAAGTGCTTAACCAAATGACTGCAAGAGGGTGCATCCCAACTTGCCACTCCTTCAACCCCATATTTCGTTGCATCATAAATCTTGGGAATATTAATGCAGCACACAAGCTATATGATCGGATGAAAGAGCTTGGATGCAAGCCGAACACAGTTACATATAATCTGTTAATGGAGATGTTTAGCAAGGAGAAGTCGATGGACATGATGCTGAGGATGAAGAGGGAGATGGTGGAGGAGGGCGTGGAGCCAAACATTAACACATATGGGGTATTGATCACAGCATTTTGCGAGAGAGGACATTGGAAGCGAGCTTATGGGTTAATGAAGGAGATGTTGGAGGAGAAAAGTCTCAAGCCAACAGCTCCGGTGTATGAAATGGCGATGACACTGCTGAGGAGAGCAGGGCAGCTGATGAAGCATGAGGAACTTGTGGAGAAGATGGTTGAGCGTGGATTCATTAATCGACCCTCGTGATGGCACAATGTGGTACTGACTGATGATCATCTACGAGCAACTATAGCTTGTCTACTGGAAAGCAGTATTATCTCATTAAAAGGCAATTCACGGGATATGCTCTTTTATTTTATTTATATCCAAGCAGAGATTTCATGAGCCATGCTTTGTTGTTATATAGTTGAGTACTGAATCATAAGAATTAGGCTTTAGCAGCAACTGTAGTTTTTTGTATGCGTTTCTACTAGGAAGAAGTGTCATTCTTTTAGAATGCAGTTTGTGGGGTATAGGATTTTGGTGTCTTTGTATCCAAGCAGATTTCATGAGCTCATACTTTGTTGTGATATATCAGTGAGTGCTAATAAGAACTAGGTTTTTACAGCAACTATAGTCTGTTGTGTGTGTTTCTACTAGGAAGCAGTGTCATTCTTTTAAATTGCAATTCATGGGACATAAGATTTTTGGTGTATTTGTATTTTGTTGTTTTATCAGTGAGTACTAATAAGAACTAGGCTTTTACAGCAATTTGTTGTATGTGATTCTACTAGGAAGAAGTATCATCCTTTTAAAATGCAATGCTTGGGACATAGGATTTTGGTGTTTTTGTATGCAAGCAGAGATATCATGAGCCCATATTTTGTTATTAACCGTCAGTACTTAAAATAAGATGTAGAAGAAAACTAGCAGCCTCCAATATATGACATATGCCTCTGGGAAGATGATGCTGTATATAGGGCTATGTTCTTATCATGCATTGGATATTACATGTTATGAGTTTAAATTTTATATTGGATCCTTTCTTAACAACTTAAGCTTTTAAGCTTTTGTAATTAATGATGACCCAATAAAAATATCTATAAGTACATTAAATGTGATCCTTAGTTCTTAATATCTTATGTTCCAGTTTCTTTTTTCAGTTAAATACTGTGTCTTAAACTTTGTCTTTTTTTCCATATATATATAACAAGCAATTGAGCTGCCAAATATTCTTCCCTGTTGCCTATTCTGATTCATATTCTTCCCTTGGATATAACAAGCAGTTAAATGCATGGCCTATCCTTGCTCTTTGTAAGAACTGTGATCATAACATTAATTCTGTTGTTACAGTGTTTTTGAGATGGCTACGTGATACATTACAGTGTTTCATCTTCCCATTGTCTGTGATTCTTCTGATTAATGTCTCTCTCTTTGTAAGAACTGTGATCATAACATCAATTCTGTTGTTGGTGTTTTTGAGATGGCTATGTGATACATTACAGTGTTTCAACTTCCCATTGTCTGTGTTTCTTCTGATTAATCGTCTCTGCTTGTCCCTGTGTGTGATACATTAGTGTTTCAACTTCTCATTGTCTGTGTTTCTTCTGACTAATTGTCTGTCTCTCCTTTTCTCTGTGTGATGATTGATCTGCAGAAACTCTAAGCTTATGTAGACTGTTGCAGTTTTGCCTGTTGTTTTCCCTCTTTGTTTGGTTTACATGAAAGATAAGCTTCAGCAAAGAGAACTCATGGTTGCATGGACCTACAAGTTGAAAGAACAAATAAAGGATTGCATCATGCTATGTTCTGTGAGTTTGTTAGATTAAATTGAAAAGGCCAAAAATAAATCATATATATTATTTATTATGTGTGTGTGTGTAAGTTGAATGAATCCAAGTCAAACATATTAGAATTCACATATATGAGACCGAACAAAATATATTTTGTAAGGTTAAGCTATTAAATTGTGATTCAAACTCAATATATATTAATGAACGCTTTTAATGTCTAGCAACATAAGATTATTTTAATTTTATAATATATACTTCATGTTTAATAGAATAGCATTGCAGGAAGACATCTGAACTCTCATACAAAAATAAAGATATTTTTTATTCATGAATTGCTACAGGTAATTAAATTTATATTCATGAAACAAAATTTAAAGATCTTTTTTGTTCTTTTTCTCTTCAAATACACCTTGTACTCGATCAACTTAAATTGATTTATGATGCACTTCAATTTGATCTAAGATAGTACGTACGCATAGGAAAATATTTACCAAGTTAGTCCAAGTGCCTAAATAGTTAATCAAACTCGGATTTGACTTTATCCCTCCATCCTTAATTATTCCTGATGTGAAACATACTCTATTCAACCCACTTAAATGGAATACCCGTTCGTCGTGTCTACCTACACCGATACCGATGCCATGTCATCGCCAACTCATCAGGCGAAGAAAAGAACAGAACAAATCCAAAGAGAAACATCGCAAGAGATCTCCGTCACCGTCATCACCTAACCCTAAACATGGCTCGTGCACGCCAAGACAACCCCTCCCTCCCTCTCGAGCTCAGTATCTTCGTGCCGGAAGTGAAGCCACAAGCCGCGGGAATCTCGTCGTCGCGTCAGCGGACGAGGCGCAGGTGGCTCCACATCTCCAAACTTTGAGGTTCGTGACGCGTCCTTTTCGCCCTCCGATTTCGGTGGCGCGCTGTGAACTCCCACGATTCTGTCCTCCCGAATCTGTCCGTGTTTGTATGTACGTTGTCGACGTTGTGTGCTGTGGTGGTGTCTGCAACGTGTATGCGAAAATGACGGCGTTTGCATTAATATCTTGGAGACAGGGACGAGCACGAAGCCTATATCCCCTCCTCCTCCATCTCCTCTCCTCAACGTACAGGGAAGAAGGCAGCACCTGCCTCTGGTCCATCACCACCTCTGCAACGGAGGAAGCCTAGAATGTTTCCCTCCATGTCTCTGCTCTGGTACCATATCAGTGGTGAGTTCATGGGTTCGCCTGTATCAACCTTTCTTGTGTCTATCGACCTTTTTCGTGCCATCGCTAACTTGTAATCTTGCAGGTGAACCAGTAGAATCGCATACGAGGAGCAGCGGCAGCAGCTTCTCCGCTACCGAGGAGTGCTGGCGCTCTATCGGAGGCGATAACGCATGCGCCCATGGCGAAGCGTCACGACGGCCGGACTACACGCTCCTCCTCGAGCCAAAACAAGACGCCCTCGCTGCGGTCATACGCAGCGCCCGGCACCGCCTCCCCTCCCTCCTCCCCGACTTCTTCAACGCCACCCTCGGCGCCAGCGACTTCTGCGGCTCCCTCGTCGAGTCCATCCGCCGCGCCCGCGTCGACCAGATCGAGCTCCACGAGGGCTTCCCGGTCCCCGACGCTCGGCGGCGGCCCGTGACGGCTACCCTCCGCCGCCTCTCCAGGCTCCACAACCCCTTCTCCGACTCCGCACTGCTCCAGTTCGAGAGGATCCACCAGGCGTTCGACCCGCTGGTGCGGCGGCTCATACATGCGCACCGCCGGGCGATGCGGCGGCTGAGCCATGCCGACTTGGCCGCCAGGGCCGCGTCGTTCTTCGCCTGCGGGGTGGCCGTGACGATCCAGGCCCCGTTCGCGCGCGCGGAGGCGCAGCTCGGCGCCGCCGCGAGGGGAGCGTTCGCGCTGGACCGGGACTTCGACACCATGGGAAGCATGGTGAGGAGGCTAGGCGACGAGATCGAGCACACGAGGAACGTGATCAAGCTGTTCACCGACGACGGCGACGACGACATGGGAGAAGGGCTGATGCTGAAGGAGGTGGCCAGGGAGCTGCAGATGAGCGGGTGCGAGTTCATGAACAAGCTCGCGGAGCTCGAAGAGCACGTCTCCTCGTGCTTCCTCAACATCAACAGGACGAGGAGGATGGTGATGCAGGAGATAGTGGCTCACCAGCAACGACAGATCTATACAACTGAAGCCTTGGATTAGGCTCTTTTGAGTCCTTACCTCATTTTGTTCATTTGATGTGTATTTTTTAGTTGATTTCAGCTGTGAATCTTAATCATGGTATATATACCTCATAATTTTTTAATATAATAATAGTAATAATAATATAAATCTATCTCAAATAGTTAGGACTTAATTATTATTAGTGGTTTCATTTTTAAAATTTTTATTTTCAAAAATAGTATTATTAATATAAAAAATAGTACTTGAAAAATAGATTAATTACATATTATCTTTTGTAATTAACTATATTTAGTATTCTACTTCTTATATTTTTAAAAATTATATTAAGATTTTATAATAATAATAAAAATATTTAATTTCGTTTCTATTTACGTCGACTCTATTGATGGAAATTTCCTACTCACTAATAAATTCTATAGTATTTTCGATAACAAAATTGATGATAGGTAAAAAATAAGATTAAATATTTTATTTTTATAAATATAAAAAATTAATATATTTTTAAAAATATAAAAATTAAAAGTACTAAAGGTAATTAAATGGTGAAGTAATATGCAGTTAGCTCACTCGAAACACAACCAAACTGGCTTAACACTTCCTACGTTTTGACTAAACTGAGTCGGGGTCGCAAGGGCTATAAGGCACCGCGAAGTACCACAACCCAGCCCCCAAAAACCCCCTCATCAAAACCCTAGCTGTCGATCGATCGTATCATCGAGCCGTTGGCCGGAACCCAAATCCTTGCCCAAGATGGCGTTCACGGGGCGGTTGCGCGAGCTGATGAAGAAGTACGGGAAGGTGGCGCTCGGCGTCCACCTCTCCGTCTCCTTCGCATCCATCACCGGCTTCTACGTCGCCATCAAGAACAACGTCGACGTCGAGTCCGTCTTCGAGAGGGTCGGCCTCTCGTCGGGCGTCTCGGAGAAGGATCGCGCTGCTGATACCTCCTCATCCTCCTCTTCCTCTTTCCCCTCAGGCGACGCGGTCATCTTGGACGGCGTTGACTCTTCGGCGCCGAGGGAGGAGCAGCAGCAATGGAGGAGGAACAGGACGGCGGAGCTGGCGGCGTCCAGCGGCGGAGCCCTAGCTCTGGCGATACTCTGCAACAAGGCCCTGTTTCCGGTTCGGGTCCCGATAACGATCGCCCTCACGCCGCCGATAGCCCGGTTCCTGGCGAGGAGGAACCTCCTCAAGAATCACGTGTGATAACTCTGCCCAAATCTGTGATCCTTTTCACCTTGTGCTTCTTGATTTGAAATGCTTTTGGGAAGTAGACATGCTGAGTTTATGAATAGAAATAATGGAAAGATTGCATTTTGACCTGCTTCTGGTTTCAACTACGAGTATTTGTTGTGGTTTTGTTCAGTAATGAATAACTTGAGCTTTCATAAGTGTTTGATGTGAACATTCAGTGTCTTCGATCTCATTTCTTTTCATCCTATTAGGTTGTTAATAGTTGACTCTTATCAATATTAAATGCATTATAATATGAGTATAGATTGTGATTATGAAGTACAACAAAATCTAGTCTCATTGCATGTTTTTGCTTGGTATAGACTGTGATTATGAAGTACAACAAAATCTAGTCTCATTACACGCTTTTGCTTGGATATATTGTTGAGTAAATATGGCAAGGATACTGGTTGCACATTAGATGTTAAATCTCATGCACAATTATGGATGAATAATAGCACTTCAAGTACATTTTCATATTAAATTTCTGCCTCTATTGTGGGTATCCTCGCTAGTTTGTTATCATGAATGTAATATTTCTGAGGCTAATTTTACTAGTCCTCTTCAGGATTATTTTCACTTGACTTTCTATTTCTACCTCCTCTCTTGTATTTCATTTTTCTTTCTTGTTGTGTTAAGATCACTTGGAATAATTGTAACTAAATAAAAGTTCTATCTCAATAAGTATTGTAAACAATGTTCTTTATGTGTGTTTGCCAAATTCTTCAAGTTTCAACTTATTCTTTTGGCTTTAGTGTTGCTTAGGAAGAGTATACTAGCAAAGTGTGATTCAAAAACACTTTCATATTTCATGTGACTACTACCTATAGTTTCTTAAGAAGGTGAAAACTTGTTGTCTATTTGTCATGGTCTTTGGTCCAGTCTCATGTGGTTTACTTCTGTAGAGCTAAATGTTCTGATAGTACCGGTGCTACAGGATAATATGGATGTCTGCAATTTGAATTAGGAATGTGAAAGTGCATAATGAAGGTTCAGTGATATGTAAAAACAATAGGTTAACTCCTAGTTGACTTGATGGGATGAAACTCGTGTAGGTGCGATTCAACAACATTTCATATTTTATGTTGTAGTAGTTTCTTAATAAGGTGAAACTATTCATCTTGTAGTTGTCAAGAAGTTTCATATGCTTGGTTATCTAGAGCCAAATGTTATTAGAGTACATAAGGAATAAACTTGAAATCGGATAAATTAGTGGTACCGCTGGAGAATATGGATGTATGCATTATGAATTAGGAATGTGAAAGAGGATAACGAAGGTTAAGTGCTTTGCCAAAACAATAGGTTAACTTCTAGTCCACTGGCCAGCGACGAGACTTGTCCTCTTGTGTATCATCAGACAAAAAATGCCGTTTTTTCTAGTTCTCAAAGGAAACAAGTAAGCTTCTTATTTTCATCCCAAGGCCATTTGCATGGATAGATAGATAGACAAGGGCAGTGTAAATGGGATGGAGCAAATTTGCTCAGGACATCTCCAGCTTTGAGAAAATTTGCTCTGTATCTCATAACATGTTTTCATTTTCAAGTTGGCAATTTCAGAGCAGGTGCTAGTTTTTATTCTTTCTTGGTCAGCCATGTAAATCTGGTTCCCTGAAATTATCTGAACTTTGAGCTGTCCTCCTGGGTGGAATATCCATGTCCTTTCCAAACTACATCTGAGGCTATGTCAAAATGATCATGAAAGTTGTAATTGTGTGAAATTTGTTCTTGTATTGCTGACTGACTTCTGGGAAAAGAGGGAAGATGGATAGTTTGAACCTCAAGGAAGCAGATGTTCTAAGTTGCTATGAAGTTAGTAGTGTGGAAGAAGAGGCAATGAGTGCAATAAAAATATCTGATTTTGATTGTACTCATTTTGTTTGTTAAGACTACAACACCGGGTTAATTAATGATTATTTTTTAAAATTAAAGTGAAATATTTAGTCTTGTTTCTTTTCTTTTCATGTAGATTCTAAAAATATCATAAGGTTTATCATTGAGTATATATTGATTCTATTTTATTTCGATTTACTATTGAAATGTGGTATTTCTGTTAGTTAGTAGATTCGATAAGGAAAAACGAGGCTAAAAATAATTAATTACATCGATTAATATATAATTAGCTCGTTACTTAATTATGAAACATTACCATCAATGAATCATGTGTAAATATATATATCTAAGTACAACAGTAACATCAAATACATATTGAATTGTATGAAAATATGCAGAAGTTGTATATGAGAAGTCCATTACCATCACCAAGAAAATGATGAAAGTACTGGAAACATGGAAGTCGTCATTTTTATCCTCCTCATCTGATGTACTTCCAGAAATGTAAACCCAAATCTAATCGACTTTTAGCTTGAAAGAATAATCCGGTGGCTAATCTGGTAGCAGACTCATACTGTCTTCTTGTAGCGCTGCTCTTTTCCCATTGGATAGGATTGGATCCCAAACATGAAAAAAAGGATTGATCAAGTCATCAGAGAGAAATTAACCATTTTCAATGCCAGAATATCTAAATCTAAATCAAATTAGTCAGAAGATCAATCAACATTTTTAAGTCATTAAATCTAGTTTAATAATAACAATTCATTCAAGTTATTTTTCGGTGTCCATTCGAAACTAAACACGGGTAAAAAATAAAACCTAATTATCATCAAATATCAATCGTATTGGGGAGAGAGAGAAATTTTCAAAAACATTATGTTTAAATTTTCTTATTACAATTTAAAGATTGTACTTTGAAGAAACTTTAATATTATTTTAAATTCATTTGGAAGCTCTATTTCTAGTGATTATATATATCTTTGAATATTTAAAATGATATAATACCAAAATTTTGAGGGATAAATATGTGATTTGGAAACTGTAAAAGGATAGATATGTAAAACCGCCTTCAACCGGAGACCAAAGCACACGTGGCACGAGGCGGACGGGTCCAACCGTTTCATCCCAAACAAATCTGCGGTCCGCTGCTCCGGACAAAACAGCGACTCCTTAGACTACCAGATCGGCCCAGGTCGCGACCCAATCTCCGCCTTCCCTCGCTCCCTCCGCCTGCAAGGCCACCGGCGCCGCCACAAGCCGGTGCGGAGAAGATGATCGTGTGTGTCGCCGTCGTCGGCCATCAGGTAACATCCGTCTCCGTCTACGTATATCCCTTTTCCGCGCGGCTGCAAGGGTTAGAACCCCCCCCTCTTCCTTGATCTGACGTATTTGATCTGTCTGCGGCCCACAGAACAATCCGCTGTACCTGCAGAGCTTCACGGAGGCGGACGACGCGCTGAAGCTTCACCACATTGTCCATTGCTCCTTGGACGTCGTCGACGAGAGAGGTTCCCCTTTTCCTCTTTCGTTGGTACTCGTTGATTGTTCTACTGATTTCTTATGCCCAGCGTGCTTACCTGGTCGTGGATCTAACGAAGGACTCGTCACATAGCTATGGTCCGTTTGGAGTGATCTTGGTACTCAATGGTTGGTCGGATGCCGGCATCAGACATAAGTTACTGTGTGGTGGTGGTCTGGATGTAGATTTGGTCTACGAGTAATGGGAGAGTCTTTTATGTTGTTGAAAGGGGCCATATCATTTTTGCTTGAGTAGATGACAGTGTTGGTTGGATATTTTCTTGTTAAGAAAGTTTTGAGCTCAGTATAAGAGAAGATCAAGAACTCATAAGATGGTCATAATCTGTATCCTTTATGACAAGAGGATCGATTTCACAACTTGGATTCTGCCTATATCATTGTTTTTCTTGTGATTCTAACAAAGACTAGGATCTATTTTTGTAGTACCAATTATCTACTGGTTTCATAAGAATTATGAAATTTTTGCGGTTTGTTCGAATTAAGCTAGGC